TGTCGGTCTTTCTCTCATTCTCGCATCCCCCAACACCTGCTGTCACGGATTCTCTCTTTAAATCTCTTTCTCTCTTCCACAGTTCCTACTGTCATACCCCCTCACACACAGAGACACACATACTTTGTCTCTTTCTTTCTCCCTCCTCCCTCCCATCATTCGTCCACTCTTCCTCTCTCTCACCCCCATGCCTGCCGCTGACAACAATAGTCCCTCCTCTCCCCTGCCCCAAACAGCGAATGTGGGCCAGGCAGCTGGAAATAATTATCTCTCTGCTCCTTAGCTGTCCCACCTGCTCAGCCTCTCCACTGCCTCAATGGGGGCAGTGGTGACTCACCCACCTGGCTGTTCCATTGCCTCAACAGCAGCAGAGACGGCAGCTCCCCCCCCCCCCTGTCCAGCCACTTCACTGCCTCTACAACAGTGGCAACAGTGACTCCCCTGCCCGCCCACCCGGCTGCTTCGCCGCCTCAGCAGCATCAGCCAGTGTGACTCACTCACTCACTCTGCTACCTGCCCAGCGCAGAGGAGCTTTGTCTGCACGTGCACAGACAACGCTGTTGTTTTGGGGAGGTGAAAAGTACACAGACGGACGAGTGATTCAGCTTAGCGTACTTTATTAGTGCAGAACAAGACACCTTTAGCCAGCTCGCAGGCCAGCTTATATCCCCCACGAATCCACCACCCAGAACACCCCCCCACTTCCCAATAGGTCCCAACTAGTGGCCGAGAGTCCCATAGGCTCTGGGCCCAGAGCCTAGCCGTCTGATTGGTGCGGGCTAGGATCCGCATCGTCCTTTGCTTATCAGAGCGAAGCTCAACGCTTGCGCTTGACCGCGTGGCGCCCAAGCTGACCACACGGTCGGAACCTGATACATTACAGGAGGGTTTAGATCTTCCATTTTGGGGGTCATTCCAAGCTTTTTCCGGGCAAAACGGGGGGTATTCTTTGATGATCTGACCATCCTGCTATATAGTGGTGATTGTCTCAGATGGAAGCCACTAGAGCTTGGATGTTTTGGGTCATCGTTGGTGACAAATAAATCTGTCCTGTGCTGTTGAAAAATTGTGAATTCCCCATCAGGACTCCAGTGCCTTGAGCACGTAGTGCATTTGTCAGTGATTGTACAAGTGTTCTTCAGTAAAAGAGAGAACTAAATATGACTTAATCTTGTTCTGTTGTTTTTAGGCTGCTTTGGAGGTAACTGACTAGTAAGATCTGGTCTCCTCATCCCCCTTCCCCTTTCTTGTAGTGTGTATAGATGAGAATGAGTGGGCTGCAGATTATGATGAAGCATATGGTTCAGGGACATTTTATAACAGAAGCTCAGCATGAGTGTGAGATGAGGGGTTTGCATGTAATGAATGCTGCTACAGTGAATTGCAATATTTATGAGCATCAAACAATACAGAACCATCCTTAAGGTGATGGTTAGCCTAGTATGCAGTCACATGGGGTACCATCCCAGCTAGGAGAACCATCAGTAAAGAAGCACTTAGGGGCTACATTACAGCTCACATCAGGTGTCTGCAACATGTGGCTTCAGAGCAGGATGCGGCTCACTGCATGTTCTGGCCACCAGGTGGGAGGCAAATCACAGTTACCACAGGGTCTGACCGGAGGAGTTCTTGGGTCACAGTCCCAAAGTCATAGTGCAGAGTCCAATAACACAATCAAAGGTAAAGTCAGGAGGCAGCCCAAGGGTCAGGTAACAAGAATGGCTGTGAGACAGGTCTGGCAACTGGTGGGATACTCAGCAAGATTGCAGAAAAGTTTTTTTTTTTTATTGAAAAAAATAATAATAATCAAGCGGTTACAGTCTAGAAGTCACAAAAGTACAGACAAAACCAGTTACAAATACAAGTCAATAGGATAAAAATCGTAACACTATTACACAACAGTCCTTTAGTTTAAATAAACCTTCAAGAAAAATTTAAGACTGGACTATTCTATAGCCTTTAGTCAACACATTACAGCTCACATCAGGTGTCTGCAACATGTGGCTTCAGAGCAGGATGCGGCTCACTGCATGTTCTGGCCACCAGGTGGGAGGCAAATCACAGTTCCCACAGGGTCTGACCGGAGGAGTTCTTGGGTCACAGTCCCAAAGTCATAGTGCAGAGTCCAATAACACAATCAAAGGTAAAGTCAGGAGGCAGCCCAAGGTTCAGGTAACAAGAATGGCTGCGAGACAGGTCTGGCAACTGGTGGGATACTCAGCAAGATTGCAGAGAAGTTGATCCCACACTGGCCGGATCATCTCTGAAGCCTTCTATAGGCTACAGGTCTGGCTGGTTAATATGGCAGGCTCTTCCCTGCAAGCTCACTCATCTCCTCTACTCATGAGGAGTACTGGGACCCAATTCCTCTGATGACGTATTGGTCTCTCTCTTCCAGCATTTCCTTATCAGAGGAGAGGCCACAGGCTGCCAAGCACCCATCTACCTGGTCCATGCCTCAGTCCTAGCCCTTCACCTCCTCTGCTCCTAGAGTGTTTCAGAAGACTATGGCAGTCCTGGTCATGGGTATGGGTGTGCAATCTTTTTGATTTTTTTCCCCCCCAGTTTGCGTATATTTCATTTTTTAAAATTCGGGATTTCTGAAAAATCCCGGATCCCAATACTGGCAAAGTACTCAGATCCAGGATTTTTTCTGAAATCCTGAATCTTTCTGGGTCCAATAGACTCAAGGTGGGGTGGGGGAGCAAACAACCCAGGAGCGGCAAAGCCGCAAAACACAGCTTTTTTCCCCTGATTTTTTTTCTGCACTCCCTTTAAACCAGGCTGGTTTTAATGGACTGCAGAAGAAGGTGGGGGAAAAACAGCTGACAGGCAAGGAGCAGCCTCCCTGCCTCTCAGTTGTTTCCTCAATCTTTCTGGTTCCTGAAAATATCCACCATGATTTTGTTTTGGGGGGGGGGGTTTCCCGAAAAATCCCACATACTTTTGGGATGCCAAAATATACCCGAAAAATACTGATAAGGTATTTTTCAGTTATATTTTTGGCTCGGGAAGACTCAAATGCACACCCCTAGGCATGGGCAGGTACATATTGGGGCCTCCAAATCTGACGGCCCTGCTGGCTCAGGGTACGGTGTTGGTGCTAGCTCATGGTCCCTTCAGGAAAACCCTGAGACTCCGGCCCCACAGGAAGGATTTGCCAAGGCAGGGCTTGGGGACTGGCTGTCCTCTTCTTTCTCCAATGAGGACTCATGATCTCATGCTACACTGTGGCAGTCTATGATATTGAAGAACCAAATACAACTCTTTTTTTAAAAAATTGTTAAGATATATTGGAGGGATCAGTAGGATGCTAGAATAAGAGCATTTATGTGACAAAGGGAATGGTATGTCTTGATTTTATAGGACTTATGGAGATGTACTCCCCTTAAAGTAGCTGGTTCATAGTTTGGCAGTGCTGTTGGAATGTAGCTTGTTGGATAAGAAGGTGATGTTGATCACCAGGAGCCCCTTTCAGCAGCTTTGATCTTTCCTAGGTTGGAAAGATCTTGACGTAGTGGTGCATGCCCTGGTAACTTCTATATTAGATTACTGCAACATTCTCTACATGGGGCTTCCCTAGAAGACTTTCTGGAAGCTACAGTGGTACAGAATGCTGTGGCCAAAATGCTGATTGTGGATCATATGGACCATATCACTCTAGTCAGGTTCCACCTGCACTGACTCCCAGTTTGCTTCCATGGCCCAGTTCAAGAAGTTGGTATTGACCATTGAAACTCTTCATAGCTTGGGACCAGCATACATTAAGGACTGCCAACTGATCTCAGAATCTAAGCAGGGTTGGCCCTGTTTAGCACTTGGGTGGGAGACCACCACGAAAGTCCATGGTTGCTATGCTAAGACAGGCAATGGCAAACCACCATGTTCATCTCTTGCCTTGAAAACCCTATGAGCTCACCATCTTCAGAGGCCATGCTGCTGGTCCCCACATCATCTGAGATTATATGGGTGACAACAGGTAAAAGGGCATTCTAGTCATGGCACCAAAACGATGGAATTCCATCTGCCGGAAATTCTGTCTGTCCCTCTCTACCATTGTCTTCTACCAGTGGGTAAAGAATTTTCTATTTTGTATGGCATTCCCTCACTTGACCTTATTTCATGTGTGTGTGTGTGAGAATGATTAAATAAATCCTTAGGTTTATAGAAGTGCACTAAACTGATTGCACAGGGCACTCCTGTGTATATTTATTACCTGTTGTCAGGAATCATGGGTGTCACTTTCTTCTAACCAGTGTTAGGGCTGCAGAAAATGTTCTTAATCGATATGTCAAGTTATATATATTTCAGTTATGTTAGGGGGCTGCCTTATAAGGGCTCTTTGTTTATTAATCGAATTGTCAGTGATCAGTAACGTGAAGTTATATATATTTCAGTTATGTCAGGGGGCTGCCTTATAAGGGCTCTTTGTTGTTCTCCTGCTCTAACTTTTGGCATAGCTTGGCTTGTTTAATTATAAAAAATCACCGACCCCTGGCTTAGTGGTTAGAAGTCTGGACTCAAATAATAGATGTTACTTTTAAATGGTTTAATAAATGGCTTTTTTCCCCCTCCCCGGTAATGTCAGAAGTAGATGAAGATATGAATTACAACAACGACAACAAATAAATTCTGGCACTCTTACCTTAAAACCACAAGAGCTGCCTGATGAATCGGAGGGTTCATCTCATCCCCTGTTCTGCCTTCAGTAGCACTTGCCTCAGGGAGTGCACACACTGGGCATGAAGGCTTCAGCCCCGCCCTGAAGGTTATTCCCAGCATTTAAAGTTATTTGGCTTGCAGCAAGAATGTATTAAGGTGAATTGTACTGATACCTTCCTGTGACTTCTGTACATGTCCCTCTTCCTTTGTATTTTGTGTTACCAGGATGATTTTGTTTTTTTAATTCCATTCAAATATATCAGTGCTAATGATGTCCTTGTTTAAATCTTCTGCACAAAGTGATCTATTATTCATTTCTCTTCCTCTCTTTTCCTCAGAGTTACATACATGGAAGCAGCCAGGCACAGTTTGTGGCCGAATCTCACATTATACTACTCCTGAGTATCCTTCAAGTGTTGATGGATGGAATAAGGCAAGCTAAAGTGGAGGTCCACTATTACGCGAAATTGCGTTGACAGTGAATATCATTGAGGGTTTGAACAGCGATTGCATTTTCCTGTTTATTAGCTGCCAGATTAAGATGATGCTCCCAGTCTGTTGCCATTTATTTGCGGAGAAATCTGCAGCCGCCTTTTTGACTGTCTGTGTGCTTGCTTTTAAATTATTATTATGTAGCTACTTCATCTTCTGAATTCTAACTTGTTTTCTGGTGCCATGCTATTTGTTTTTAGTTCTTCCTATCAGTCGTCAGAAATGTTTTTGAGTGTTACGAGAGTCAATTCCATTGATCAGTCACTGTCGAAGGGCGGGGTACTCTGGACTCTGCACACAGCTGTGTGTGGGAGCTACTCTTAAGGTCACACACACATTTTCATCCCCACTCACACAAGTATAGAGTAGGTTGGATCCAGACTTGACATTTCTGTGGGCACGGATTCTTGGGCAAGATCGTCTCCCCCAATAGCAGCCTGAAATGCCTCCTGAAGTCCTGTTTCTGGGGGTCCCATTTTAGGGGAGGAGGAAGAATCGTACTCACAAGCACCCCGTGTCCCCGTGGTAATGTCTAGTCTGGATCTAAGCCAGTCTGCTGTGTGATCAGGTTCTTACTCCTGTAGATCTTAATGTGTATATAGCTTGCCTGCGTAATCAGTCTGCTGTTCAAAAGGGATGCGTGGCTCACATGGTTAGGATATATTTCATGTAAGCACACCATCATATGGCACATTATGCAGACTGTGAAGTACACAGTTCCAGTGCTTAGTCCAGAACTTGTATGTCAATTTTATTCTCATTAAATAGTTTCAGCAGTTCATTGATTAAATATGATCCAATTATAAGGCATGTATCTTGCACACAATATGTGAGCAAGTTTGTTGGGCATGCAGCATAGTCCCTGCAATCATCTGATGTCTCTAATAAGAATTCATCTACAATGATGGAAGTAAATTATGTATTTTGATTATGGAGTCATTAATGTCAATCGGGGCTGTGGTGGCTCAGGGGTTAAGATGCTGAACTGCAGACCGGAAGGTCAGTAGTTCAGCAGTTCGAGACCCAAGTGCCTCATGACGGAGTGAGCTCCCATCTCTGATCCCAGCTCCTGCCAACCTAGCATTTCAAAAGCAAGAAATTGCAAGTAGATAAATAGGTACCGTTTCGGTGGGAAGGTAACAGCGTTCCATGCACCTCAGCATCTAGTCATGCCAGCCACATGACCACAGAAATGTCTTTGAACAGTGCTGGCTCTTCGGCTTGGAAACGAAGATGAGCACCATGCCCTAGAGTCGGATTTGACTGGCTTTTGAGCAAGGGAAACCTTTACCTTTACCTAATATTCATGACAAAGATTGCAATATGAATAATAAATGTTTTCTATTGCCCCCCCCCCCAATGTTGTGACAGTCTAGAGCTCTTGTGCACATTACTTTGGATGTTTGGGGGAGTTTTTGTGGTAGGTATCTGAACCTGCCTGCTGTCTTCTTCCAAGAGGCTATATCAGAAGTATAGTACATAAACTGAAGGTTGTTACTGATGCTTTGTGTGTGCATACCCATACACTTGAATTCTATAGCTCCACTGGATTTTGACCTACATGGAGTGTTCTGCCCAAGTAGGCAGCCTTAGATTTTGCAGTGTCATCAGTAATGCTGAATGTCCCCTTGCATCCACCAGAAAAGTAATATAGCTGAAGTCCACTGATGAAGCACTCTTGCATTGCCATTAGGGTTGCCAAGTCCTACCTTAAGCCGCAGCGGGGGACTCCCAGTGCCTGCGCGTGCGCGCCGCGAGCACGTCACCTGGAAGTGACGTGCTGACGCCGGGCACGTCCCGTGCTTTGGGGGTGGGGTTCCCCCCAGGGCCCGATCCGCCGGCGGTGGGGAACGGGCCTCTGGGGCGGGGGTTTCCCCGCCCCCCGTGGGGACTTGGCAAGCCTAATTGCCCTTATTCTGTAGAGTTGGGCAAGCACCCTGGCAGCATGGATGCCTTTCTAGCGAGTAAACCCAATTTCATGCTTATTACCAATAAGTGGAAATAGATTAAGAGAATAGGCCTTAATAAAGGTGATAAGCAAGATAAGGAGTGAAAGCACCCCATGTTTCCCCAAATATGTGGGAGCAAACAACAGTATTTCAACAGTGCGTCCTAAGTAGTATTTGGCTTTTCGGAGGAGGCTTGCCCTATGATCCTAAAAATAATACACACAAATACAAGTCTCATGGGTTTCACTGGAAGCTCACCTCCAAATAAAAACCCTCAGACTCAAAGCATTGGATGCATCCAAGAAATCAATTTATTTATACCCCACTCTTCTTTCCAGTGGGAACCCAATGACCTTACAGCAAGGTTCTCCCCTGTTCCATGTCATCCTCACGCGGACGATCCGGGGTGGCCAGTTAAGCTGAGAGTGTGTGAGTTGCCCAAGATCACCTAGCAAACTTTCGTGGCAGGGTGGGGATTCGAAACTGGGTCTATCAGCCTGACATTCCAACCGCTATGCCACGCTGGCTCTGCGATACATTTTTTTAATAGTACTGGCTTGCCATTCTCACAGCTTTCTGTTTCATATGCAGTATTTGAACTAATAGTCTTGTAGTTAGGATGGCAGAACAAGTAACTTAGTGGCAGAGTCCCATTCTACCTTGCAGCAGGAGACCTTCAAGAGGTTTGTTTGGGGTCTCCCCCCCCCCACAGTCAAACTGAGAGTTGGAATGCAAAGGGATTTTGCAAGCAGTATGAGGTCTTCCATGTGGGCTCTTAATAGTTATCCATGGAAGACTTGTTTGTGTTTCATTATCCTCTTTATACCGGCATTAATTATTAGCTGTCACTTCTTTCAAAAAATGAGAAATGTTTATTTCAAGAAAGAAACATGACACAATGCTGATTTCCTAAACAACTTTATTGAACTTCTAAGGGTTTTTTTGTAAAACCGTGTTAAGTTCCTGGGGGCAGAAACAAAAGCAATTGAGTTGGGGCTTATCTGAGCGATCCATATCAGTTTTTGTCTTTTTCCAGTTTATCAGGAAGGAGCTCCAATTGTTTGAACTTCTTCAGACTTCCTCAAGGGGTAGCCAAATGTGTTTCTAGAAGGGACTTTCCCTAGGGATGGACATTTATATGTCTCAAGTGTCAAGAGTGTCATCCTGCTCCTGAGAGAGAAACGAAGGCTTTGTTCTGTCAACTCTGTGTAAATCTCTTTTCTTCTTGAAAAACAGGATGCCCTTAATGCAAACACCCTGTGAGTCTTTTATTTCTTTCATTCTCAGGACCACAAGAGATCGGATGGTTTAGAATTTGTTCTGCTGCTAAGTGAGCTCTTGAAGGGCTTCCTTAATGTCACGTTTCCTCCTTTTTGTGAGCCAGTTTGGTATCATGCTCAGGTAGTTCACAAGAGAGCTTTTCACAAACTGGCAACATAAGGAAATTCTGTTCCCCTGGGATGAAGCCCTCATCTTCAGTCCTGCCTCCTGTGCATCCCAGAGCAAGAGGCCTCCGAGTATCCTGGCTGTCAAGGAGGCTACTGATTTGCAGGTGGATGTCAGAACAAAATACTCTATTACAACAAGCCGCTGTGCACTAGACTGCAGGGATTAATATCTGTGTTGGTTTCTGCTGATACATTATTGGCATTTACTCTTTATTCATTTGTTTTTTTTAATTGGATTATTATATTTTGTTATTCTGGTATAATAGTCCTTGTGACCTACATTTTAAAGGCCCTTGATTTTTTTAAGTGATTCTGACTTTTGTAATCCTGATCTCCTGAAAGCCTCATCCTGCACTGGTTCTTTGCAGATCCATAAGACCTGATCAGCATAGGCTGCAAGGTCTCTGTGGATGGTTTCCCATTAGCATGGTGGAATCCCAGTCTCTCTTCCCCCTTTCTCTCGGGGCACTCTTGGTGATTCCAGATATAAGATATTCCTCTGGAAAGCTATTTTCTAGATATGCTCTAAAGGGAGGCATTGGCAATGATGACTTTGAATATGTGACGCTGCCTTACACTGGCAGTAGGTCTATAAAGGTCAACATTGTCTAGTAGCAGCAGTTCTGCAAAATCTCAATCAGAGGTCTTTCCTATTGATGCACAAATCTGTGCCCCGTGTGCTCCCGGGGCCGAATAAAGAACACACAGTTGGAGACCAGGGAGAGGATAGATATCTGTTTATTGAAATAAATACAGGACTGGATACCTCAGCACCCAGTAACATCAAGCTGTATTTTGCTCCAACCAGGAAGGGCAGTAGATCTTATACCCCAAACGACATCATGACGGTTTACATATAAAGAAATCCCTAACTGGTGTCCAACAGGTATCATCATCAGAGCATCATTTGAGCTGGCACTTCTCTATTGGCATATTCCTTTGTTGATCATAAGTGTCAGTGATTACGTCTGCTTATCTGGTCCCGGAACAGTGGAGAACATCAGTGAACAAAGGGGCCTTCTTTTGGCATCATTCCTAACTTATTTGCTTCAACTTAAAAATGGGGAGTTCTCTGATAAGAGGCATACAACTTGGCAGACTTCCTGGTGCCAGATGCTCTGTTCTGTGAAGAAAGATATTGTTTTGGGAACATTCAGAGTCTTTGCATCTCATAACTTTGCTGTAAGATGTCCTTCAGATGGGGAGCTTATAATTTCAAAGTATACATTCCATTCTATTATTTGCTGACTCTAAAAAAAGGACCTTTAATTGATTCTATTCTAAATCTCCTCGTGCTAGGCTAAATGCTAATAAGGCACAGTGGCAGCTGGCATTCTACATGTCAAGAGAAATATCTGAAATCACATTCATAAATTACATTCACTGGTCCCTTATCTTACACTATCACCTAGTAACTGATACTTTTAACTGGAGATTCCAGGGGTTGAATCTCATACCTTTTGCATGTAAAACACATACTCTGTCAGTTAGCCACAACCTAACCCTAACCCTA